TCCAGGGGGAGGGTAGTGGAAGCAAGAACTCCAACACAGAGCCAGGGGGCAGGGGTACACCCTCCACCAGCTCTACCTCCCACCCAGGAGGAGGCGAGCACTGTGTATACAATGACATTTCTAACCACACCCTGCAAAATACAGAGTATTTAGCAAATGCTGCAGCTGTTGAGAATGGACGGGGGCCGGGGTTACTACCAAAAGCAGAGACGTTACAGAAAACAAATTCCTGCTTGAATATCATGTACAGTACCCTAATAATGACACGTTCCTTGATAAAAAGAGAGGGGTTTGAAACACTACCGAAGGTACACCAACCCGATATAGTAGGAGTTGTAGAACTGTTGTACAACAACAGGAGAATCGACCCAGAGGAATGTGAGTTCAGTATCGACGGATATGACTTATTTACAAACCTTTCTCAAGAAACTTTCAAGAGGGGTGTGGTTATCAATGCTAACCAAGACCTTAGAATCAGCCAGGTGAAGGTACAGGGAGAGGATGTTTTTGAAGAATTCAAATGGTGTAAAATTAAATTATTGTTGGGTGTATCTACAGATCCCCAAACTGTGGCTTACCAAACCAAAGGAACTTAAGAACCTTAATAGACAAGGTAGCGAGGTCAACCCTAGCCACCTCCTTATCATGGGGGACTTTAACTATGGCGACATCGACTGGAGAAATGAGTTCACGTCAAATGACTTAAATAGCCCCGCTACTCTTTTTGTAGAAACTATGAGAGATAATTTTCTGTTCCAACAATTAAAAAGGCGAGTAGGAGTAACAGACCTTAGGCTTAAAGATGGTAGTTACGCAGATTCTGACCAGGACAAAGCTGAGGCATTGAACAGCTTCTTTTCCTCAGTGTTCACAAGAGAGGATACGATTAATCTTCCTGCTTTTGAGGACAGACGGTGCGACACAGCACTGACCCACATTATGTTCACAGAAGAGGTTATAAGAAATAGACTGTCAAAGCTAAAGGTTAATAAGAGTCCCGACCCTGACAAGGTCAATCCCAGAGTGCTAAGAGACTTGTGCTATGAGCTTGCTGAGCCCCTGAAGATCCTGTTCTGTAAATGCCTGAATGAGCAAAAGGTCCCCAGTGATTGGAAAATAGCTTATGTGAGTCCTATCTTCAAGAAAGGCAATCATCACTCCATGAATAACTATAGACTGGTGAGCCTAACCAGCATAGTATGTAAAGTACTTGAGAGCATTATAATAGATGCCATGATGGAACATCTACTATGAAACAACCTTGTAAAGGATTACCAACATAGTTTTATGCCGGGGCGCTCCTGCTTAACACAATTACTCAAGGTTCTGGATATTTGGACCCAAATTCTGGAACAGCGTGGTAATATCAACAATATTTACCTGATTTTGCCAAGGCTTTTGACAGTGTATCCCATGAAAGGCTGAAAATTAAACTGGAAAGGTACAGGATTCGGAGAAATGTCTTAGCGTGGAACGGAGACTTTCTCCATGACCGCAAGCAGTGTGTGGTGATTAATGGCACGAAATCATTATGTGTACCCGTCACAAGCGGGATATTACAGGGCAGTGTATTGGCCCCCCGTTGTTGTTTGTTTGCTTCATAAATGACATGCCTGACGCTGTACATTCCTCCATACAAATGTTTGCGGACGACATCGAGTTATTTCAGGAAATTAAGAACCAAGACTGTGAGGAGCTGCAGAAGGACCTCTGAGAGCTTCAAGAATGGTCGAAGAAATGGCTGCTAAGATTCAGTGTCACGGAGTGTAAAAAGCTGTACTTGGGACATACCAACGGTAAGTAGACATATATGTCAGAACAGGACGAAGAAACTGCATTAATTGAGACTGAATGTGAAAAGGACATAGGTGTGTACGTTGACATTGCGAGAAGGTAAATCAGGCAACTAAATTAGTAGGTCTTATAAGGTCTTTCAGATATCTAGACGGTCCGTCCTTCTTAACGATCTTCAAGAGTGAAGTGCACCCCCGTGTGGAGTACTGTCACCCCGTCTGGTCCTTGAGATATGCTAGGGACTGTCAGTTGATTGAAAATGTCCAAAGGAGGGCCACCAGACCAGTGCCTGCACTATGGCACCTCAGCTATACCCTGAGAGATTAGAGCACCTGAAATTGCCTAGCTTATACTACAGACGAGCAAGGGGAGACCTAATTGAGGTGTATAAACATCTCAAAGGGCACTACTCATTCGAGTGCCCTTACCTGGAGCTGGCGGACGCTCGCCCCACAAGGGGTCGCAGCTCAAGGTTGAAGAAGCAGCAAGCCCAGAAAACTGTGAGGGGTAACTTTTTGGAGTGAGAGTTGTGAACATTTGGAACAATCTGCCAGAGAGTGTTGTGACAGCACCGAGTGTCAGCTCCTTCAAGGCCAGTACTTGCCAACATAGATGTGATTGATCGCCCAAGCGGCTAGCGAGCCATTCAGTGGTAAAGATGAAAGTACTTAGTCAAAGCATAACAGGTATCAGATAATCAGAGTGGCCATAAATGGAGCAGAATCAGATTGAAATCAGGTTCTTTGTTGAAGAACAAGTTTCCATCCAATAATTCATATTTTTTGATATAATGAGTAATGTACATGATGACAAAATATAATACTATAAATAAAATTTGTGAACTACAAAAGACGGTTATTATTCGGTTTAGTACATCTTCAAATTGCATAGAAGCACTTACTTTTAGGCAATTTCTACCTCATATATACATTCCTCAACCCTTGAAGCCTCTTTGAAACGTTTCTTTCAAAAAAATCGCACAAGTGAGGAATGCCTAAGAAATTATATCAATAAATCTCCACCCTACCCCGCTGGGGTTAGGGTTCCCCGCAGGGGTTAGGTGAGGTTAGGTTAAGGAAGGTTTATTTCCTAAAAATTAGGAGTCTAGATGTTTGGTTTCTGATGTATATGGATGTATTTTGTTCAGATTTCACATTTGTTTTTGATCAAGGATGACTTGCATGTTGTTTTCAAAAGCGACGCATTTCCCATGGAAACGAAGGTCAGATCTGAACAAAACACATCAAAATAATCAGAAATCAAACATCTCGTGAAAATTTTGAGGGTTTGCTAAAACATATAATGTCCCAAAAGATTTAAAAGATGGTAAATCAAGGCATTACATCAGTGCCAATTTTTTTCATGATGGTCGTAGGACGTATTTGCAAGGGAATACAATTACGCCCATTTTATTAAACAATATTTTCCCTTGAAGAGGGTCCTCGTGTCTAAAACTAAATTTTTAAATGCAAAGGACCTTTTACAGCAGCGCACGAAGGAGTATGGTGGCGGGAAAACGAACTAATATTACTGAAATTTGAAGAGGTAGCTAGTAGCTGCTTTTCGTCACACTCTTCATAATTATTTTGTTAGTTTTATTGAATATTTAAAGTCAATACGAGTAATGTACAAAGAAACACGAATTGGTAATTTTATAAATCTATTTACTTTTTATCTTTTTACTTTATTGGTTTTACGGCCCATATTATGACATTTGCAAAAGCTGTTTCCTGTCATTGGCAAATGCAAGCTGCTGGAGTCATCTAATCTAACTAATGCTGGTACTAATCAAGTAAGCACATTTCAAGTAATTTATTAAACTTTTTAGCAGTTTTATAAGTGAGTTTTTGTCTGGAAAGTATAAACTGGCAAGATTCTTGCCAAGAAATATTAAAATGGATAAAGTCAAATTTCACTGGGAGAAAATCGTCACCAAACTTTACGCGGCATAGATTAATAAAGTAAGTATATTAAGTTACTTAGTGCAACTTTTTAGCAGTTTTTTAAGTGAGTTTCTGTCTGGAAAATGTACTGTAAACAGGGGAGGTTTATGCCTAAAAATATTAAAATGGGTAGAGGCAATTTCACTGGGAGGGCATTGTTACAAGGATGGTAACATTACATACAAAAATACCTTTGGTACAGTGGATCATGATATATTATGTGAAATACTGCAGGCTCTAATTTTTCATCACCAATTACAGTATTTCGTTTTGGTAAACTTCCATTTAGCTGAATTAGGTGCATAATAAAAGAAGATCACTGGGAGATGGAGTTTGATTATTTAATGATAATGTGACAAGCATATATGAAACAGTTTGTTGGCTAATATAGAGGACTTCATAGCAGCTTCCCCGTCTCAGTAATAATAAGTTCGCCCACGGCATGTGATGTTATGCTAGGTTAGATTAACTTATCTAACTTATAAATAATTTTATAAACATTTGCCATAAATACGACCGTCTCACTATAAAACATATTGAAATTGCGGATTTTAGAAATTTGTTTTCTCTGAAAAATCACAATTTTTAACCAATAACAATATAATAAGGCCATATCAGCACTTAAAAGCCATTTTCTATTAGTATATTATGCATTACTGTACATTAGTTATATTTGAAAATGACACTGGAAACTTTAGAAAATTTTTATTTCCCCTGTGTTTGTAATTAACAGGCTTTCTACAAGTATTTTTATTTTGTAAAATCTTTTCCTCCCCAGTCAAATGGATTAATAAATCGTGTTCTCTCTGCAATATAGGACTTGCCCTTGATGATTGGAAGGAAAAAATTCCATGATGAGAGTGCAGTACATTTACTCTTAATTTTAGTGCCAACGGAAGTAAACAAACACACACACACGAGTAAGACAACCCATAATGCATCAGCAAAGTGGACAGTATTACCAGACCTACCCTACTTAGTCCCATACGAGGGGAAAGAGGTTCGAGCAATTGAAAATACCGCTTGAAAGAACAATCCCATCAAGAAGACTCTTCGTCAGAGAGGGAAGATGTTGTTTAATAATACGGGCATTAAAGTTTACCTAACGAGGTTAAAATTTGCCTAATGAGTAAAAAATAAAAAATAAATAAAAAAAATTGCTTTAATGTACAATCACAAGTAATTGTTGCAATTCTTTATTTTAATTAGATTCAAGTTCTACAATCCTGTAACTGTTATACTGTAATGAACTTCTTTCTACAGAACTGAACTTGTCCCACAATAAGATGTCTAAGTTGCCCGAGGAACTGGCAGACTGTGTTGAGCTGCAGCGTCTTGACCTTAGCCATAACTCCTATGTCAACCTTCCCAGTGTTATCTTCCGACTGCCAAAGATCAAGACCATTCTTGCCAACAACAATTATATTATGGGTAAGACCAAACACAATTCTTTGTTATTTCTTACGTGATGGAGAGAAAGTTCATTGGAAGGTTTATTTTTATGTGGAATACTATTACAGTACAGTACAGTATATGAATATTCAGAAGTAAGGTCATCTAAAATTACACTAACCATGATACTGTACTGCATATGGTTGTCACTGCCATAAATATAATTGTTTTGTTACGCTCAATTGTTCAGTGTACAGTACAAAATATAAACATTTTAAATATTTTTCAAAAGGTTTGAAGTTCATTTTTGCTCACACCATTTCTTCCATACAGACATTGAAGTGGAGGAAGTGCAGCGAGCCAAAACTTTGGAAGACTTTGATATTTGTGAAAACCCCCTCACAGCAAAGAGTCATGATGGCTTGAGAGCAGTGACCAACCTGAGGGTTACACTTACACCAAGGGAGATGGAGGACTGGGAAGATCTTACTATCTGAATCAACTGTACAACAATGATATCCTTACAATAACCTCAGCTCTTTTTAACCTGAGACCATCATCTCTGTTGATTCTTAGATTTCATTGCTTTGGATTTGAGAATGTTGCCTGTGAAGTGTTAAACATTTTGTAATGATGAATATTACAAGCTGTTGTATCACCATAAAAGGGGCTCACAACTTTGTCATTGTGATCAAAGACTTGTGTCAAAGGATCATAGTTCTGTTACTAGTGATTATTAATTTGTCTTAGATTCCATGTCTATAGACAGATTATAAAGTGAAGGAGATGTACTTACAACCAAATAGTGAAGATGATAATATGTATAGGCATAACAGATTGGAAAAACAATAATTTTTTTTTAAGTACAGTACAGTACAGTAGTAATACAGTACGTATACTTATATATATATATATATATATATATATATATATATATATATATATATATATATATATATATATATATATATATATATATATATATATATATATATATATATATATATATATATATATATATATATATATATATATATATATATATATATATATATATATATATATATATATATATATATACTGTATATATATATAATTGCAGTACTGTACTGTTATTGGAATTACTGTACAACCATATTACCTGTCCAAGCATATTAAGTGATATTGAACTTCTCAAAATATTTGTTAAGTCTGGTTGTTTCTTTATTCAGTTTTTTTGACAAGGGAGCTAAGAGTGTTATACCTTGTCATATGTATTGACTTGAGATGGCCCATTGTGTTACAATATGTTAGACTGTTGTATTAACACAATATGTATTTGAAATTATATCCAATGCAAATTTGTTAGATTTATAAAAAAAAAATTATTGGTAACAGTATGCTTGAAACAAGGTGAAAATATCCATTAATGCCATAATCATTTGTGATTCAGGCACAGTAGGAAACATCTTATTCAAGGGTTTTCCTGTAAAACATTTTGACTCAAGTCACCCCATGTCTTCATTTTTTATTCCATTGTGTTTATCTGAGACAAGTATAAGCATAGTCAGCTGGGATGATGGGAAATATGGCTGTTTTATATGTTTTTTGAGAGTACCAAGCCAGGACTACAAACAGATGTTTAATGTTTCCAAGATTTTAGGACTCGTTTGACTTAGAGTAATTTAATTAACTCAATGAAGGGTTAAAGCTGAACAAAAGATGGATTTATTAAGATAGTAAATATCGTAAACAGAAGTCTGTACAACATGAAGCAACTGGTTTGAACAATGGCTTGAATTTATCTTTGATATTTTTATAAATAATATGCAAGAGCGTGAATAAATGTTTTTTGCCGGTGTAATATTGTGCATATGGCAGGCAATGTCTTTCACATTAACTCTAGAACTAATACAGTATCTAGTCAGAGTTTTAGGATGTATATACAGTATTGTATTATATACAGTATATATATATATATATATATATATATATATATATATATATATATATATATATATATATATATATATATATATATATATATATATATATATATATATATATAAACAAAGATACTCAAATTATTCAAATGGTGGTGGGCTGCAATTTTTTTTTATTTTATATACAGTGTATACCTGTACAAGGTACTGTATATATGGAAGTGCATACAGTAGTTTCTGAATGTACTGTGTGCAGTCATTTATTAAATGGTTAAGAAAATATTAATTTGGAAAATATGCAGTATATAAAACAAAATTTGCCTGACAATAAACAGAAATATTTGATTTGCTATACTGTACTGCATTGGACACCATTGTCATCTGATGTAGGGTTAAAACACTGTTGCATTCCGTGAGGCCTGTAGAATGGTTTCTATGAACTTGACTTTTATATGCTTTCCAAATACTATTCTTTAGACTATGTTATTGGTATACTGTAAGTTGAACATTGGTTAATTTTATTCATGGTTTGAGGGAGATAACTATACAGTTACAAGTCTTATTATTAGGACTTCTTATTTGTCTTCAAACTTGGTGAGAACAATCATCACCCTCACTTGAAATTTTTTCTGTTTTACTCTGAGAATGAATATCCTTATGAATAATGTTGTTAATAACATGTTCTTTCCAAAAAAATTACCTGCCTACCAATAATACACAGAATCCAGTTCATAGAACATGTGAAAATATTTAACTAAATGTCATTGAATTAATTTTTTTTAAATGTGTAGCAAATCACAAACTGGGGAGGAATTTTGTTTCACAATTCTTTATACATAATGTAATGCCTACTAGTGTTCGTGAATACTGTACTTTATAAAAGTATTTAATTTTTCAGTGTTTACTGTGTACGGTGTATTAAATTTTATTAATGGCATTACACACAAAAGTTTTATTATCAAATGCACTCTTATTCAATGCAGATATTGTACTGTATATAGATTTGATTAAGACCCATATGCTGTACTGCAACCTGTTTGGATTATTGGCAAAATCTTTACAGAAGCAGCTTGTATCTGAAGACATTTTGAATTTTGACTGGAGTATTTGAATAGAGACCATATAACTATAAACCAAGACTTACAGGTATTATATTTGTGGGAATGAGTTACGACACATGAAAAGGATGTGTTCACCCTGTGTTATGACAGGAAAGAGATTTGCAAGTGAAAAATATGAGTAAAGGTAATATGAAATGATGTTAATTAGAAGCAAGACTTTGGGATACTAACAATATTGATAAGACCATATAGAGCTACATCTCTTGTGAAACCCATTCTCAATCTGCTGTGTCACCTAGGTACAGAGTTGGTCATAACAGTAGCTTGTTTTGATACTGTAATGTTATAATTTTCACAACTGATAGGCTTCAGTTCCCTGCCGTTTCAGTTGCTTACTGTTGATGTTGAGTATTTGGAAAGTGAAAACCAGTTGACACTAACCTGTTTTGATGAGTGCATTTTCAACTTTTTTTTTTTTATGTAATTCATACACTGCTTCAAATAGATTTATATAAAAAAAGAGATACAATTTGTTTATTTTATTTTGGGGAAACAAACAATATGATGATTTGCCTTGGCCAGCAGTCATTATATGATGATAGGTGTGTTTTATACACACACACACACACATATTTATATATATATATATATATATATATATATATATATATATATATATATATATATATATATATATATATATATATATATATATATATATATATATATATATATATATATATATATATATATATATATATATATATATATATATATATATACACACATTGTATATATACACACACACATATATATATATATATATATATATATATATATATATATATATATATATATATATATATATATATATATATATATATATATATATATATATATATATATATATATATATATATACACACAGGCATATTAGTAGTTTATGTTGACCATATTCTTCTGGCTTAATATTAGACTGTACATGTAGTTTGATTTTTTTATACGCAACCTTATAAATATACAGATAATGATAATGTCGCCTGACTTTCATTTGAGAATTGCCTATTAAAAAAATTCCTTTGTAACTTTCCAGTCATATCTGAAATGTATTAGGCTTTTGTGAGGAATCCTTTTTACCTATAAAGACTCTACCTTGTCTGTTACTTAAACCTGGGAAATTTAAATAAAGAACCTACTCATGATATAGGAACTTGAGCAAAATATCCACAAAATAGTCAGCATAAAAGTTGACTGCATAAACTCATCTTCTTATCTAATCTTCAGTGCATGAGCTTGGGTTAGGCCAAGAATGACATGTGGAGAAGTTGTTGGAACTTCGAAATGACCTCAAGGATAAGAACCTGACAAGACAGGCTGCAAGATACTGTGCAGCATGGGGAGCTCTCATCACATATCACAGGTAATCCAGGCAAGTGTAGAAAATGGCTATAAAAAGGTGATAATGATGTATTCAATCATATGAAGGCTGTGATTTATACAGTAGAACCCCAGTTATCCAGCACCTATGAGGATTGAGAGGCAGAGTTTAAAAGTAACTAAATAAATTTACTTGAGTACTGTACTCAAGTAACATTTTGACTTTAATTCTCTTCGCCACTGATTGGATCGTTAGCCGCTTGGGCGGTTGGTCATGTCTGTTATGCACTGGCTCCTGAATGTATCTGAACCTGCTCCAATGTTGGCCAAGTCTGGTCTTGAAAGAGATAACTCTCGGTGCTGTCACAACGCTCTCCTGCAGATTGTTCCAATACTGTAGTTCACAATTCTTACTCTGAAAAAAATTTGCCCTCGGTTTTCTGGAGTTGAGGCTTCTTCAACCTTGAGCTGTGACCCCTTGTGGGGAGGACATCTGCCAGCTCCAGGTATGTACATTCGGCCGAGTAGTGCCCCCTGAGATGTTTACACACTTCGATTAGGTCACCCATCTGTAGTATAAGCTAGGTAGTTGCAGCTGCTTCTCTACAACATTTGAGAAAAATTCTAAAATTGCATCGTGTTCTGTCGTGTCGGCCCCATGTATTATGACATTGTCAGCAATGCAGACAACTCCCTTCAAACCTGCTAGTGCCTCAAGTAACTGCTTCTGAAAAATTTCTGAGGATATATTCAGCCCAAAAGGTAGGTGAAGCCACCTAAATCTACCATGACGTGTTTGGAATGTGGTTAAGTCTCACATGCCGATAGCCAGATGCCAAGTTGACTTTTGAGAATACTTTAGACTGGCCCAATTTATGAAGGGTGTCCTCAAGAATAGGAAGTGCATTCAGGTAGTGTTCTTGTGAAGGTCCTTATTCAGCTCTCTTGGGTCTATGCAAACTCTGACTTTCCCATCCTTTTTGGGACTCACGACAAATTGACACACCAAAGGGGTTGGTTCATCTACAGGTACAATTACACCCAGCTTGACTTGTCTCTCTTGTTCTGCCTTTAGTTAAGGTTTCATGAATATTGGCAAGCGAATGTCAGGCATAATTACAGGTTTAATATTTGGATCAACTTTGAGGGACTGTACACCATGGCGAGTTCCTAGAGAGCCCTTTATTACATCCAAATACTCATCTTCTAGTTTGATATTGTACACTCTCTCAAAGTTGCCCTCCTTTACTTCCACCAGTCCCATCTGTTGACAATCATTCTTTCCTAAAAGTTGTGTAAGATTATCTTTAAAGACAATGACATCAATAGGACATTTCTGACCAGTTACAGGGTTGTACAAATTCCTAATGCATATACCAACTGGAACCTGACTGCCTTGGTTCCAGGTCTTAAGGACTCTATTTGTAGGTTTGACATGTATGGCAAAACTGAGGGGTAGAGTATTCCCAGTAGAACCAGTGTCAATCTGAAAGAATCTTTACCTACTTGTGGGCCCCAGGCCAAACTCATCAGTGGGCCCCCAAATTTATAGAAATGTTTGCATGTTTCAATAATCAATATATATATATATATATATATATATATATATATATATATATATATATATATATATATATATATATATATATATATATATATATATATATATATATATATATATATATATATATATATATATATATATATATATATATATATATATATATATATATATATATATATATATATATATATTATATATATATATATATATATACTGTATATATATATATATATATATATATATATATATATATATATATATATATATATATATATATACTGTATATATATATATATATATATATATATATATATATATATATATATATATATATATATATATATATATATATATATATATATATATATATATATATATATATATATATGCAAGTAAATCACTGTGGGGTCTTGTCTAGGTATGTGCACAGTAACCACAAGGAAAGAAGAAAACACGAAGTTCCCAAGCGCTTTCGTGTAATTCACATCTTCAGGGGTGAGTACAGACTAGAAAGAGTAATACAAATCAAGGTGTATATATACAGAGGAGGGTGAGACCAGGTCCACAATGGTCAGGTATTAGGTAATGACCCTACTAATCTTTAAATAGCACACAACGGTTGGTGGTCAGGTCAGATGCTCAAGTGACCCGGCCTTCTCACCTGATCACAAATCTTCTTAATTACAAAATTGTCCAGCTTGTACATGCCGTTACTCAAATTCATGTTGAATGGCCGGTATGTTTAATAGACAGATTCTGTGATGTTCCTACTATCAATTAGATTACATGGTAATATTGAGGAGAGCATTATCTGATCAATGCAGTAGCATCACCAAATGAGCTCTCTCTAGTCTGTACTCACCCCTGAAGATATGAATTACACGAAAGCGCTTGGGAACTTCGTGTTTTCTTCTTTTCTTGTGGTTATCAGCATATATATATATATATGTGAAACCTCAGCTTTCTGTGATCCAATTGAACCCATAGAGGCCAGCGTAAAAATGTGACATAAAGTGAACAACAGAACATATGGGATTAATTGAAATAGAGACCGGGCCGACCCCCAAACTCCACTTTTTCCGACACAATACCTACGTTGTAGTAAAAATAACTTCTTAATTTATGATGGTATGCACACACAATTAATAATTAAGAGAAATATCAATAATATTAGGTTTTTTAACACTTACATTAGTAGAAAAGATGGCTGCACAGATGGGGGGTTGGTTCCGAGGCAGAGGGCAGATTATTGGCCCTCACCTGTATCACTTGTATCAATTGTATCACTATCCACCACAGAGGCTTGCAGGGCCTCTTTGTCAAACCCCTCAAAGTCCATATAAGTCCATATCCTCACTATCACTGACTGGGGCCTGCTGTGGTGGGTGGCGGGTGAAGAACTCGGTAATGTTTTGATGCCTGGGCGACCTTGTGCGCACCTTGCCCGAGCCGCTCTCCGCGTAAAATGTTCATGTACCGCGTAAAGTGAGCATTCCGGATCTGGCAGGGTACCCGTAAACGTGGAAACGGTGACTAGTAACCGGGCGCTGCCACAGACAAGCTCACACCTCAACACATGGGAAAACGTATTGTACGATGGTACTCCATCTCACAATCTCACAATATGATATACAGTACAGTATATATAATTATCAATTTGGTAATAATATGAGAACAGAAGCCACAGCTGGTCTGCCCGAAAAGACTTCCCAGTTCCCTCCTGCTGCGTAACAACATAATTGGTTATCCCTTGTGTAACGAGGATGGCCGGCCCAAGGGCCACCGAGGAGTGAATTTGTTTAAGGTGAAGAAGCTGTCGCCAACACAACAACCACACCCTGAGTTAACGAGTTATATCAACTTGTATGACCCAGTAACAAGGAATAGTCCGAGAAGACCGGACAACTCGCCAACTGCACTGGTTAACCAGTACCCCGGAACACGATCCGCAAATCGATTAATATCCAGGTTCCCAATTACTTCTGGGTAGACAGAGGCAAATGGGTAAAGAAAGTTGCCCATAGTTTCATCCAGCCCGGGGATCGAACCAGGGTCCGCTCACATGCTGACCATTACACCACAGAGTCACAGACCGCCATTGTGTAACAACATGGCGCCCGGTTGTCATAGGTTGTCATACATAGCGCCATGTTGCTACTCAGGTGATGTAAAAGTTTGAGCTCGTACTGTAGAGGATTTTTTTTTTTTTTTTTTTTAAGGAGATTAGCCCACCCGGGCACAGGTCACTGACCCACATCGGGGCCTGGGGGGCGAAAATTTAATAATAATAATAATAATAATAATAATAATAATAATAATAATAATAATAATAATAATAATAATAATAATAATAATACAGTAATTCATAGTAAATAAAATTTATAATAAAAAGTAAAATAAAATAATAACAATAACAACACTGTAATAATGATAATAAAAAATCATTAGTGAGAAACACTATAAGTACAGTATGATGTGTTGTCAATCGTACGAGAAACAATTGAGACCCTGCAATTGTGTGTAAATGAGGCAGAAAGTCAGATCAGCAACCTTGGACTTGGCCACAATATTCGTGATGCCATATGGCAGCAGGGTCTACCATTAGACAATACATTATGCTTCCAATATCTTCCCAGGCGGTAGTACCTTCCTGTTTGGTAGCTGCCTACTACCTTCTACCTATGATGATGTTTATTCAGTAAAATTGTCACACATGTTTACAATTGGATAAGCATGTTTATAAACTATGTAAGAGAGAGCCCGAGAAGATTTCCCACCAGCTGAGTAATAGCATGGCGCCCGGTTGGCCTGTAGTGGATTCCATCCCCTACAAACGCCGTTTGTCGCTGAGTTGCCGACCCTCTTCGAATTCCCCAGCCTGCGCCTCCAGCGCTGCCTGACGTAGCGGGGGTCAACTATCAATCCACGCCTACCCCTGCCTTATAAGACCTCACCCCACTGTGACCACGCTCTTTCTACCTATGGCCACCAGCAAGCAACACCTCCTCCTCCTCTGTTCCAGCCTGGCGGCTCCCGCTCCCGCCGGCGACCATGGCGTCCCTCAAGCTGCGTGCCCTCCTCTGGGGCACCCTTGTAGGGTTATGAGATATTGGTTCACACTCAGGATGGGATGGAGAAAGGAAACTCACGATGTGCTCACTGTATACATATTGTATTGGATGTACAATGCAGCTTGTTGCTGGGTAGGCAGCATGGTAACAAGCGTTGAGTAGAGAGAGCTGGTTGGTGAGGGTGTCCAGAGGAGAGCACGCAGCTTGAGGGACGCCGAAGTCACCGGCAGGAGCGGGAGCCGCCAGGCTGGCGCGGAGGAGGTGTTGCTTGCTGGTGGCACTGGGTAGAAAGAGGCTGGTCACAGCGGTGTCAGGTCTTATATGGCGGGGGTAGGCGTGGGTAGATAGTTGACCCCCGCTCCGTGGGCAGCGCTGGAGGCGTAGGCTGAGGAATTCGAGAAGGTTCGGTGCTTGTAGGGGAGGAATCCACTACACCCTCACCAACCAGCTCTCTACTCAACGCTTGTAACCATGCTGCCTACCCAGCACCAAGCTGCATTGTAAAATGTACATCCAATACAATATGTATACAGAGAGCACATTGTGAGTTTCCTTTCTCCAACCCATCCTGAGTGTGAACCAATATCTCATAACTCTACAGGCCGAACTCTCTCTTCTGCTCTGGGGTGAACCAGAGCCGTTGATAAAGAGTTCGGCCAAGCGGGCGCCATGTTGTTACTGAACTGAAGAAGTTTGCTCTCGTACTGTAGAGGATGATGATGATGTTGTTTATTCATAAAATTTGTCATGCATGTTTACATTTCAATAAGTATGTGTATTAACTATGTGTGAGACAGCCGAGAAGACTTTCCACCTACTGAGTAACAACAGGTGCTGGGTTAGCCGAACTCTATCAACGGCTCTGGGGTGAACTGCCAATTGGAGTGAGCCATACTCCTACTACAATAGAATCCTTAACTGTTATGTGGTGAAATTATAAATACAGCAATTGCCAACAGTGCGTAACAGAAACGCCATTATCGTCCATCCAAGCGGCTAACGAGCCGATTACTGATGAAATTGTATTTTTATTTATCATTCCACCACTTACATGAAGAGAGAGAGAAGCTATCTTCGAAAGCATACTTTTCTAGTTTTATCTTCTTTTTTAAAGAAAAATAGTGGGATACGGCGTTGGAATAGAAACAGGCCTCTGGATTTTGGGGAAAACACCCTAAATGGCCTAAAGTATTTTTTTAGATAAAATAGCTGAAGTCATCGACGATTAGAAGTGATGGCGTAGATTTAACGGTAGATTGGTGTGGGTGCCGTAGTCGTGGTGAGGTAGGGAGAGAGGGAGGGACATGTGGGAGGGAGGGAGGGCGGGTGGTGAGGGAGAGAGGTAAGCAGCACAGATCACCATAACAAACCGACCTCTACCGCCGCCCTGGGAGCTGCAGTTACTCAGGGTTGCGTCATCTCGGTAAGGAGACAGAAATTCAGTTAAAAGTTGCTATACTCAATATATACATTGGAGCAGCGTAAATGTAAGTAATACAGCAATACTGGGCTATTGGCAGTGGCATACTTTGTCGATCCAAACTAAGAATAGCATAAGAGACATTAAAAGCCTATATTCGTTGGTCATATATTTTACAAAAAACATCCACTCCACTTGCTTTAAATTGAAATATGTTTTTTGGCGATGACAGATACTGATAATTTGATACTTCAGTAAAGTTACCACGGTCTTAGTGAAATGTATGAGAGCTTAGTGTCACTAGGTCAATTGCTGAATGGCTGCAATAGTGGGACAACAAAAGCTACTTGATGAATAGATGATTTTGATTGTTGAGTACTTGTATAATGTATACAATGTCAGGACTATAGAACATAATCTCCCAAGAAAATGTAAAGAAATCTCAGCAAAGTTGGTCATGTTAATGTGGGTGAATCCAGAGAATGTTTACTTTTGCGTTTTGTTGAGCAGTGACAGTCTAGTGGGTCTTTTCATGTACACATTTTAATGGTGTGCTGATCATGGTAATGCTTAGAAAAAACAGTGAATAAGGTTGGGGCTTATTTGCCAGGTCGTTCGCTGACATGAAATAAAGGGTATAAAGTGATACAACTGTAGGTAATTATTTGTTTTAGCACAACCCTCGAATTTTTTCACGAGATGTTTGATTTCTGATGTGTTTTGGTCAGACCTGACCTTAGTTTCCATGGAAAATGTGTCGTTTTTTTAAGTAAAGATGCAAGTCATCCTTGATCAAAAACGGCTATTTTCCATCAAAAATAAGGTGAGATCTGAACAAAATACATCCAAATACATCAGAAGCTAAACATCTAGACCGCTAATTTTCACTAAATTAACCTACCTTAACCTAACCTCACCTAATTCCTGCGGGGAGCCCCAACCCCAGTGGGGTAGGGTGGAGATTTAATGATCTAACTTCTTAGGCATTCCTCACTTATGTGATATTTCTGAAAGAAACCTTTCAAAGAGGTTTCAAGGGTTGAGGAATTTTTGTATGAGTTATAAATTGCCTAAAGGTAAGTGTTTCTATACAATTTGAAGATGTGCTAACCCGAATAATAACCCTAGTGAAGGTCCGTGACAAGGAAATATTGGTAAATATTTAGTACTGTAGTTGCTACCACCTAAATGGCTTTTGCAAATGGTTTTTTATAGTAAATCATCATGTTAAATACAAATTTGACCTTCATTGCTGTTGGAAGTGACCCGTACTTTAGATATTGAAAAACAAAAATGGAAGGTAAAACAATGTAAAAAAAAAAACTAAAAAACCTAACCTAACATCACCTATCTAACCTAACCCCTAGTGTGTAAGAAACTTACCTTAAGTAAGAGATACAGGAGGATAGTGATGCGACTTGAATGGTGCCTTCGTCAGTGTCCGTCTCTTTTCACGGTACCATGCATGGTGATATACATGGTATTGAAACTGAATTACATCTGGACACTTTACAGATGAAACAAGAACACCTTGAGCCCAAAAAATGACAATGGCTGCTGCTTCATTGTTCAAAATGCACTGAATAATGCAGCAGCTAGCCAATGTACCGTACTCGTACATCCATTGCACATAAAAGCCATCTTTCAACTGGCCATGAATGCAGATTAGTGTACGAGTATTATGTCACATCAACACTCGCTGATTGACCAAATATTATAAAATAAAAGTTAAAATAACTTGAAAACTAAAAAATTTAGACGGAAAAGTCATAGAATGAATTATTTATATTTTTTCTCTATCTCCCCATATATGACTCATTATTCAGTTAAGTGGTGGCAACTACAAATTATTAATCAAAATATTATTTAGGATAATTTTGCTGTGCTGAACATGAATCTGCTATTCGTTTCTGTGCAAATGCATAGTTTTCTTGAAGCTGTGTGGAGAATAATGTAGAAACCTAACTTAACACAACTTAACAAGGAGGTATAAAGCCATAATCAACAAACACTTACATCGCTTTATCATTGTCAAGTCCAACATGGCATATTACATCCTCAAAGTCAAGAGGGCATGAATTGCACACCCTTCCATGAACGCATCACAATACAAACTGAGGCACCTGTCAGTATTGCAGCATATCGTGACATACGGAGAAATGGATGACACATCCCTCTTTACGCGTCACGGAATATATAAACACATAACAAGAGTTATACCAATTTGCACAAGAAATGGCAGTTACAGGTACTCCTCGACTTACGACCACCCGGACATACGATCGCCGCAGTTGTATAAAATATTTTTCAAATTACGAATTTTTGAGTCCCGACGTTAGTGATCGCGCTGTGTACTGACAAAATTCTCGTTTGTAATTCCCTTTAAAATGGCTGGCAAACGTAAAAGTGAGAGTTCTCGTCGTGCTGAGAAGAAAAAGAGACACCCATTTTAGCTTTTCTATGTATTATTTTTGCCTTTTCGACTTACGACCAATTTGACTTACGACCTGGTCGTCGGTCCCTAACCCCGTCGTAAGTCGAGGGCTGACTGTATTTCCATTTTCACTTTTTAAAAGAACGTTGTCCAACATACAGGTATAGTATTTTATTTTTCCAATTATAAGTTGAGGTGTTTGTGATTTGTTTCATATATATAACTTTCCTACATACAGTATAGGTAGTAGTTTTTTGTCTGGTCACAGACCTGTACTTGCCTCTGCTATTTGTCCAGCATATTTGCAAGTCAACAAATTCAATAATCTTGATTATCAGCCTCAACGAATCAGATTGAATGTTGGATAGATCGAAAAAGTATTTTAAGGTCTAACTTTATTAAGTAAAAGTTCACTGTATTTATTTGGTGTTATTACCTATATGTTGTTTTATGACAGAAGCTTCTCTAATAATTTTTGTTTTACTAATAAGAATGTAAATATGGTGAGTGGTAAGGAAAGATTCAGTTAAAAATTCACCCATGTAGTAGCCCATGAAGACACATGAATCCAAGTCTGACCTACCGTATAACCTAACAACTCCAGGGTTTTTGGTTAGGTCTGGATTAGCAATGTTAGGATAGCTTAGTCATGCGAGAGGTGACTGATGTATTTGTGTAGAGACTTAACACTTGTAGGGCACTTTTATTACTTATTACAGTATAGCTATATTCACAATATATTAAATGTTTTTTACACTACTTTATATATGCACACACACTTAGTATAAAACAGTGGATGGTGCACAAGAAGTTTACAGTATGTGAAACAAATAATGTATAATGAAAATTTCTTCCTTTCTTTGTTAGCAATGTACAGGTACTCCCCGACTTACGATGGGGTTAGGGACCGACATCCAGGACGTAAGTCGAAATGGTCGTAAGTCGGAAATGCTTAAATAACACATAGAAAATTGAAAATTTGGGTCTCCTTTTCTTCTCAGCACCACAAAACACCCACTTTTAAGCTTGCCAGCCATTTTAAAGTACTGACTTTGGGACTCAAAAATACATAATTTGACCACATTTTGGTACGACTGAGGCGGTCGTAAGTGTGGGTGGACGTAAGTCGAGTCGGTCGTAAGTCGGGGACTACCTGTATATATGAAATGACATGTATAGATACAATGAATAACGAGTACCCTCCTGAATATTTGCATCATGAATTAAAATTGATATTATCTTTTTGAACAAGTTATGCCTTTTTATTCTAAGAATATAGTATTTTTAAATTTATTCTTCAGTCCTTATAATTTTCTTAATACTGTACAATATATTTATCGCATGTACACTGTACAGTATTATTTTCCTTAAGTTTTGTGTGCATACTGAAATTACATTTTAAATTTCCTTGGTCTTTAATACTGCAGGCATCATGCTGTGGACGGTGGAGCTGGAAGGTGGCCCACAGCGTGTTAATCATGCTGCTGTCCCAGTGGGTGAAAAAATTTACTCCTTTGGGGGTTACTGTACAGGTGAAAACTACCGAACTATACGAAATATGGATGTACACATCTTAGACACAGGTAAATGACAACTCTCTTCTCCCAGAAAGAATACAGGCATCCCCCGCATTACGGAAATTCGGGTTACGGAAGTTCGAGCTTACAGAATTTGGAAATTTTTATAAAAATATTTGCCCTTATGGAATTTTGGTCAATTTTGTAATTAAAAAAGACTACTGTATATATAAAAAATATTTTAACATTTATTTCGTGTGGATTCTGGGTACTTGCTACAAGATGGTTGAGGACCCACTACAACAACAAAAATAGTGTCAGTCAGTTTAAATTCATTCCCCAGCTTGTGTTCAGTTTTGCATCTGTGTTCAGGACTGTATATGCCCTTATGAAATTTGGGCAAATTTTTTAAGTTTTTCAAACATAAAATCGCGATATAGAACAAAAGATTTCACCGTTGGACATTATACGTACAGTACAGTACATGATGTTTTAAGGAGGTAACTCCCAGTAACTCCGATTGCACCACCTCATGTAGCACATGACATTGTTTCTGGTGAATTAAATTCAAGTGTTGTGTGCATTTACTATCATGTTACATCATGAATGAATCATTGTATGTGTTTAAAACGGTTTATTTTCTTTCATATACAGTATGTGCTTGTTTTACGGTTCTTGCCTGAAAAAAAACAGTAGGAACGCATCTTAAATTATCTAATGGGAGTCAATAAGAAAATCGATCCTGCGTTACTGAATTTCATGTTACGGAACAATTTTCTAGAACGGAACCTTTCCATAACCCGGGGGATGCCAAACTTTTGAAGTTTGGAATTTAATTTATTCTATTCCCACAGTCCTGTATATCTTACTGTATATATAGTATTGTATATGGTAATTTGAAAAGGATTTTGTACATCACAAACAATAGTTTACACCAGTGAAGGATGCAGATATTGTAGTAGCAGGTACAGTACATGTAATAATACTGTACTGTACATCTGAAAAATAAAAAAAAATTCATACCCCAAGGGCATGCCTTGTTTCATATTAGTTGTTGTTGTAATGATTATAATTACTGTATTATTTTTATGTCCATATCTAGCTACTGTATATGAGGCTTTCCATGATGACATAATTGTGTTTAGAAGTTAGGCATGATAGGCAGGTTTAGATGTACTGGTACAGGTTGTACCTCTCTAGTCCAGCAACCTCGGGACCTGACCGGTGCCGGACCATGGAAATTCACCCTTTTCCTGGATAGATAGTGACTTGTGCTTATGCCTGGAAGCACTAGCACCACTTTCTCTGCATCATGGTCTCTTTGAAGACATATTGAAGGGTTAAATGTCGTATAGTAGCTTCTCAAATTTCGCGAGTTTTTAATTCTTAACGTATTTTATTGGAACACACACAAAAATAAATAAATAAAAATTTTGACGCCAGAAACTTGAATTTCGACGGGTTTGAACGGCCCGCCAACTTGCAGACGACGTGCATAATCGTGTAAACAGCGTCATTTCTCTTATGTACAAAAGATTCATTATTGTTTATTACTGAATGTCATTTTTATTGAATTAATGTTTATGTGTGCAAAATGAGCAATACAATTCATTAATAATACGTAGAATATTAAAACACACGAGGAAATGACACAGCATTGTATTCGTTGATTACAAAACCAGTGACTGACTGGTTCTACATATAAAACTGAAGAAAATAAGACCTTGGTTGTAGCTGTAGTAAAATTAATATGGTTGTTTTAAGTAATGTTATTAATGTTAATAAATGGAACAATAGAAGTAGCTAACGATAATGGTAAAGAAAGAAGAGAGATCGCATGTGTAAGTGCCCATGCGCACACGGGAAAACATATCATCATTACTTTACATAAGAATATGAAAGCAACACTTATTTACTGTTCATATATATTTTAATTAATGTTTCTGAATTTGTTTTTATTGAATTTATGTACGTGTGTGCAAAATTAACAATACAATTTATTAATAATACGTGGAATATTAGAGGAGACGAGACGGCTGCCGGCATTGTTTATGTTAACGCTTACGAAACCAGTGACTGATTGGTTCTACATATAAAACTGAAGAAAATAAGACCCTGAGTTTAGCTGTAGTAAAATTAATGTAAAAAAATGAATATGGTTGCTTGAAGTACCTGTAATGTTATTTAATGTTAATAAATTGAACAATATAAGTAGCTAACCATTAATGGTAAAAAAAAAAAGTGAGACTGCTCGTATGTAAGTGCGCACATGTGAAAATATATCGTCATTACTCTACATAAGAATATGAAAGCATCACTTATTTACTGCTCATATATATTGAAGGGTTAAATGTTGTACTCTGTATAGACAAGCAGAGAGAGAGAGCAGCCGAACTGCCGGATGTAAACAAACCTTAATTTCCTGCGGATTTTTTTTTTTATTAAGGGGATTAGCCCACCCGGGAATAGGTCACTGACCCACATTAGGGCCTGAGGGGCAAAAATTTAATACTCCTGTAATAATAATAATAATTCAGATAAGTAAAAAAAAAAAAAAAAAAGCTGCCTATCTACCTATTGGACAAACTAAAATCGTTCCGGACCACGGGAGTTTCCGGACCACAGAATGCCGGACTAGAGAGGTACAACCTGTATACAGTAACTGATACCAGGAACAGAACTATTTGAAGGAATACAAAAAATACTTGCTGTGAAGGAATGACAAAAATATTTGCCATGCAACATTAGGACCAAGACTGCTTGAGTTCACTTATTACTTCAGTGCAATATTGTGAATGGGTCAAGTTTAGAAGTTTTTCCTGAGAAACGACTTACATTTTTTTTTTTTTTTTTTTTTACAGGGATTAGCCCACCCGGGCACAGGTCACTGACCCACTTCAGGGCCTGGGGGGCAAAAATGTAATAATAATAGTAATAATAATAATACTGTATTAATAATAATAATTAGTTAGGTTCTTGAAAACCCCACCGCAGCCAAAATATCGTGAATCAGAATCATTATAACATGGGGTTTAATGGGTATAGGTTCCTGGCCAGTCTGGACACTCAAATACTACTCTCAGTACAAAAGAACTAAACAACACTCACCACATCATTAAGAACAAGTCTGGTCATCATCACATGTCTCCTTTGAGGCTATGGGGACTCTTAAGGTGGAGTGGAGACATCAACCTGAGTCCCACAGACTTTGGGGAGTCTAAGTGGGGACTGGAGGTGTAGCCTCCATCCTGGCCTTAAAGATGGTGAGCAAAACGATTGCCAGACATTTTCAAAGTTACACTGCTCAACTTCACAGTCACAAAAACATGATAATAATGATGGAGACTCAATTATTGTATGAAAAAATGTAAAGAAATGTTACAATGGAAGTGTGGTAGGGGATTAGTGGGTCTCATGTTACTGATCTGACCTAATCAATGTCAGGTGGAAGTGGGGTGGGGGATTAGTGGTCTCATATTACCGACCCTCTGATGCAATGCCAGGTCACCCATTGTTAAGGTGGAGGATTAGTGGGTCTCATGACCTGAAGATGTCTTGAATAACGATGAAAGTTAAGGTAATTTTGAGGTGCAAAGCTGCTAGCAAATATTTACAGCTAGCAAAGAGGTGTATAAACTTTTATTCACAACATCTGCTCTAATTGTGACCTGACATTGCATGAGACCACTAATCCCCTACCTCCACCTAACATTGATCAGGTCAGGTCAGCAACATTGAGACCCACTATTCCCATACCACACGTCCATTGCACCATTTCTTATGTTTTTTCATAAAAGAATTGAGTCCCCATCATTATTACCACGTTTTTTTGTGATTGTGAAGAGAGCAGTGTAACTTTGAAAATGTCTGGCAAGTGTTTTGCTCACCATCTTTAAGGCCAGGACGAAGACTACACCTCCAGCCCCCAGTCTTCAGACTCCCCAAAGTCTGTGGGACTCAGGTTGATGTCTCCACTCCATCTTAAGAGTTCTCTTAGTCTTGAAGGGGACATGAGTTGATGATCAGAGTTGTTCTTATTAATGTGATGAGAGTTTTTTAATTGTGTTGTAGTGCTATTAGTATTTTATTTATTTTATTTTTTATGCATATGGGTGTCCGACATTTAGGAACCCATCCCATTGAACCCCATTTTATAATAAACCTGATTTATGATATTACAATATTTCAACCTGCAAAGGGGTTTTCAGAAACCTAACACCATTGCAAATACAGTAATACCTCGGTTTACGTGGGTTTCGTTTACGAGTTTTGTCATTTATGCGGTACCCTGCCAGAACCGGAATGCCCAATTTACGCGGTGCATCTACTCATATACACGGAGAGCGGCTACTAACGTAAGTGTTAAACCTAACCTTGATTTTTTCTAACTTAACCTAACCTAACATTAGTGTTAAACCTTGATTTTTTCTAACTTAACCTAACCTGATGTAAGTGTTAAACCTTGATTTTTTCTAACCTAACCTAACTTAACCTAACCTGAGGTAAGTGTTAAACCTTGGTTTTTCTTTTACCTGGTACAGTATATTATTCTCTTATTGATATTTCTCTTCTATATTATGTGTGTGTGCATACCATCATAAAATTAAGATACTATTTTTACTGCAACGTAGGTATTGTCTCTGAAAAAGTGGAGTTTGGGGATTGGCCCAGTCTCTATTTCAATTAATCCCATATGTTCTGTTATTCCATTTACGCGTTTCTCGTTTTACGCGCTACTCCTTGGGTTCAATTGACTACGTAAATCAGGGTATTACTGTAGAGGTGCTGTGCCATTGTGTATATATACAGTACTCATTAATCCAATGCAGGATACAGTATCGGCCTCAAGTTCCCCAAGACCCCAGACATGCCTCTTGTTGATCGGACACCTCCCAGCTTGCTCTGTGTTGTTGATAGCTAAGGGTTTCATTAAATATGGTCTGACCAAAGGCTACTGAAATAATTTGTGGCTTACCTTGAGGATTTTGTGAAAAGTAATGTCAGAAATGTTCCAAATTAAGAGTTCAGTACTGTATTATACCTGTACTGGTGTACTTAAATCCTGCCCTTACGGTAAGTTATGTTTTCATGTTATATCTCCCATTCGGGGTTATTTTAGTGTAAAATTTATTCTTTAGAGGATATGACAGCTGGCTATGTATGGCTGAGTGTAATAGTGGAGAGTGGCAGATATAGTGTCTTTGCATAATAATGAAATTGTATCAAGCCAAATCACAAGTTAGGGAAACCTGCATCATAATAAATAAATGATACAATATGTACTGTACTATATTGTATAAAGAAAATCAAACACCGACTTTTCCTTTTCAGTAACGTATAGATGGAAAGCTATTGAAATTCGACAAGAACGTAAATGTGTACCGTTCCAAAGATATGGTCACACAGCTGTTGCATTTGGCCATCTAGTTTATGTCTGGGGAGGACGAAATGATAACAGAGCTTGCAGTACTCTCTATTGTTTTGATACAAGTAAGTGCGCACACA